AAAAAAACCCCACAAGAGTCTGAGCAGAGAGCCCTGGAGAGGCCCAACTCTTCAGCACACTGTAATACATCTGCAGATAAAATATTTCACTTGTCAAGCTCCTGCTGCCCAAGTACACCTTTCAGTCCTGAGGGTTAAGCAGGAAAAGGGAGCTCAGCCCGTTGCCAGGCTCTGCAGGAAGCTGAGCCCAAGGGGACCAAGAAGGGCTTGGGCTTGGAGACCAGAGGGGCTGAGCCTCAGGGAAGCATCATCCAGCTCAGGCACAACTCAGAAATAAATGGCTGGGAGTAAACTCAGGAGATCAAGGTCCTCTTCATACCCAACAGCACTAGTATTTAATTTATGAAAGAGGGAACCCTGCTCAAAACAAGCTAAAACTCCTATTTTCACAGCCCTGCTATCCTGAAAAAAATTTCCCCCTCTTCCCTCCCAACTCACTGCCTTTATTAGAGCTAACCACAAAGCTTCCAACAGGGGAAAAAAGCACTTTCACTGCAAACCGACAAAGTTTACAGCAGATTTTTCCCAAAAGAAAAAACAGTTTCTGCTTTTCAGCCTTCCCCAATTACGCTGGCACAACACATCTCTCGAAGTGACAGGTGCTCTGGGTTTTGTGTAACCTCACTAGAGTCTGCAGGTAAATGCAGCCCTCCAGTGGTGAAGAGAAAGACACACAGGCGGTTTTTGTGTCTGTGGATAGAGACAGAGCTATCCTAATGAGCAAAGAATTCTTCTCTTTCTTGGTGGCCCTTGTGGATGCCAATGCACAGAAACCTGCAAATCCAGACCCAGCTCAAGACATCACTGCCAATTCACCCTGATTGCAGTCGGTCTCCCATCACCCTTGTAATGAAACAGAGCCAAAGCTGATGGTCAGACAACAGATCTGGGACATCTTGGTCATCCAGGGGTCAGAGAAGGTCGTCATTCCCTTACTGCAAGGTCTAATTCCTACCTGCACAATTTAGGGATCATTTGCAGCTTCTTCAGGTCCTTCAAGAAGTGAAGGGGAGGGAGAGCAGGAGCCCAGAAAAGACAACTTCATTCAGTGGCTCTGGCCACTGCTGTTTTACTTGATGTGAGCACCTGGGCAGAGCCTGGGTCACATTCCCATCCATCTTCTAACAACCAGAGCAAGAAGGGAATTGCCCCTTGTAAAATAAGAGCAGCTCCTTGCATTTTGTCCTGCTCACAGCAGACCTCAGCGAACAACGCACACATTGCAGCTTCTTAAGAGAGCAGAGGAGAGAGTTTACACCAAACTCGCAAGATTTGGACACTCTCTGGGGCCAGAAGCTAAGGAAAAACTCGGGATGATGTTGCAAAGAGGTAGAGAGCCTTGTTTTGGGGTGTTCTGTCAGTGGGCAGCAGGGTCCTTCGAGCCCAGACCCATCCAGCCCCACCACTGCACCATCACCTGCTTCCCACGCAGCTCCACGCCAGCGATTTTCCAGCAATCCTTCAATGCAGCAGTGCCATCTTCAGGCACAGAACCTGCCCTGCACCGCTGGGAACAGCGACCTGCCCGGGGAGGAAGGGACAAGGTGTCCTGGAGGGCAGGCTCAGTCCCAGGGCACCAGCATTTGACTTGCTATTGCCCTGAGCTCTCTGCAGCTTGCCCTCGCTTTCCAGGCGATGCCAGCCTTGAGAACTGCAAATGCAAGATCCATGTGGGCTTTTTCAGCCTCATGACAAATGTCCATTCCACCAGATTTTGTTATCCCACGTGGAACCAGAGCACAGCTCTGAGCCAGTCCATCAGCCCCTGGTCGTGTCTTCACTCAGACCCATCTCCCAGAACACAAACTGCCAGCTAAAACAATCCCAGGAGAAGAGTAACTCCTTGGGAGCAAGTGCAAGACTTTTGGGAATTGAGAACTTCCTGACCAGGATTTTTGTCCTAGTTCAGTTGCTCCCAAAACAGCCTCTGCATTCTGCACCTGTCTGAGCAGCAGCCAGACACAATCTCTGGCTCTCCTCCAGGGCTGACTTTTCTTCACCACAGCTATTTGCAGATATTCCTGTGCTCCTAAAGGGTACTGAGATACCCATTAGCCTTAGGCACAAAATTTTGCAGAAAAAATCCTATTTACACTAATGCTGTGAGCCAGTGACCCATCTCGTTGGGATCATCAGGAACAGCACTCCAAGTCCATTATCAAAAGGTGGGATATACCATGGTGGGATATCTTTATGGGATATCCCACTCTACACCTGGCCACGCAGGACCTGCATTAACATCTGCAAACACAGTGCAGGACCTTGTGACACCGTCACACTGGGTGCATTCACAGAGTCCCATCCTGCAATTCCATCTACCTACAAAACCCCAATGTTTACCTGGATATCACCACTTCAATATGCCAGCTTTGCCTCCACTAGAGAGTTCTGGGAGAGACCCAGTCTGGGGTTGTGGTGCATCCAGCCTTTTGGAATGCTTTCTGTGTATGGAATTGATGATCCCACTGGGGACAGGTTAAAAAACTCCTGTGGCTCCCCCCAGCATCCCAGCAAGGGCTGTGGGCTTGTCAGGTGCCCAGACTGTGCTGGGCTGCCCTACCCTGGCACTGCCAGCCCAGATTCATGGAGCAGCTGGCACAGGACCCAGGGAACCCTGTAATGGGGTGGTGTCAGCACACCTGAAATATCTGCATGGCCCTGAGCCTCAAACACAGGAGAGCAATTACAGCTTCCCCACTATGAACAGGAGATCCTGGCACCTTACAGGGAAAAAGACCTTTTCCTTTCCAGCCAGCCTTCCTCTCCCCAGCAGCAGATGCGAGACACAAACCTCCTTGCAGCAAATTGGCATTGATTTCCACTGAGCAGTTTGTGTCACAAAAAAAGGCTCCTTCAACCAGTAAGCTCCAATTTGGCACCACTCAGCCTTAGTGGGGACAGTTTCATCAATGGCACATCAGCCTGCAGGCAGCAAGGAAGAGCAGAGCCTCCCACTGGACATGGGGAGCTGGGAGGCTGCAAAGCTCTGCTCAGCACTCTGCAGCCAGGAGCTCCAAGCATCACCTGGTTTGGCCATCAGCACTGTTTATCCTGGGGTCGGAATTAATTAAGCCCTGCAGTGCACCAAGGGTGGGATGCAGTGATGAGTTACAGCTCTCAGCTGGCTTCCCTGGGTCCTGTGCCAGCTGCTCCATGGATCTGGGCTGGCAGTGCCAGGGTAGGGCAGCCCAGCAGCTACTTCAATTCAAAGTGGCTGTAAAGAGCTAAAAAGAAAACATAGCTGAGTGCAGAACAAACCCACAACAGTCTGGCCATGGTATTTTCATCACCTCCTTAAACAGCAGAGGAATTGGCAGAGAGGAGCCCACCTTAAGCCTGCAGCTGAATTTGCTTTGTGGCAGGATGATCCACATGACCTTGAAAAGATCCATAGTGGGAAAGTGTTTGCCTGTGTTGGACAGCCCAGTGCCTCAGCTCTGGGAGGTGGGAAGCTGCTCCAATGCCTTTTGCTTCCACACTAAGGCAGTTCTCCCCACAGCTGGGCCAAGGAAGCCTCAGCAGATCTTACCTGTGTGCTGAATCCTCAGAGGTGGCAGCTCCTAACAAGGATCCAGGTCTCATAGCACATGTCACAGCTGAGATGGCCATGATACACAGAGAATCATCATATAATTTCAGAAAGCTTCAACCCATACAGAGCAGCATCACAGCACTTCAGAAGGCTGCAAGCATCTGCTCTTTCTTGTTCTTTAGCCCAACCTTTTGTTCCCTCATGTTCCTGCACTGCCCCTGTGTGCCCTCTGTTCCCTTTGGTGATGCTCAGTGCCCCTGGGCACTCCCTGCTATCATTACTGTCAGTGCTGCTCACCTGCTCCTCACAGCTGAGCCCACTGGGGATGAGGTTCAGCCACAGCCCCACTCCCAATCACCACAAACTGTGGACCTGCAGCCAGGAGGAATTTTGGGCATTTGAACATATTTCTCTATGCCAGAGACCCTTGTTCATTCACACAAAAAAAAAAAAAAAAAAAAAAAAAAAAAAAAAAGCAGGTTAAAACTGCAGACATGCAGCAAGCCCATTCCTCTAAGTCATGCACATCCCCAGGCCAAGCTCTAGGTATTGCGTTTTGGTTAAAAAGAAGAGTGTTCATAGACAGGTAAAGGACTGTGTCTGATAAGGGACACCCCAGGATCTGAGGGGTGGCTGCTAACCCTGGCAACACCACATTCACATGAGGCACATCAGGGGCTCAGGGTCAGTGGTTTCAGAGCTGTACTCAGGTTGAAGCATCCAGCTGCTGGCTCCTGATGCAACAGCTTCAGAGGAGGTGACTGATCTGCTGCTGTGACCCTTTGGCCCCTGGTTGGGATGTTCAGTCCTTACAATACTTGGACCTGCAGCCCAGGTGGTACCCAGGTCCTGGCTGCACATGGGAGGTGAAGCACTTGGCCCTGGAAGACGTTTCTTCATGATTGCCTCAAGAGTCTCCTGCCCACAGGGGAAAGCCCATCTTTTGTAAATATTTCTCCTTTTCAGTATCTCTTCAAAATGTTCAGTGTTTCACTTCAGCTTCTTCAAGAAAAGAATCCTAAAGACAATTCCTGAGGGTAAGGAAGATGGTGATCTTTCTGTCATAATCAGGATTTTTAGTAAAAAATCCCATTTTTTGAAAAGCTCCAAAAGCTGACTATTTTAACTTTGACCCTTTGGCAGCATCTGGAACATGCCCTGCAGAACATCATTAGGAAAATGATTCCTTGCAGATTTGGAAATAAAATACATAAACAAGGAAAAGAAGAAGGGTCTTGCAAGTCCAGAGGCAAGTTGGGATGCAAACAATGGGATCAGGGCAGGACAAGTGAGCTACCGAGGAGTTACAAGTGAATGACAGGGGAGTTACCCCAGGTTTGCTCACTGATCCAAGTCCTTCAAATAATCTGTGGTTATAAGTTTTTTAGGGGATTGATGGACTTAGAAACTTTTCTTTAGAAACATTACATGTTATCTTGTAAATCAAACAACATACAAACAACAACCATCTGCTTCAATAGAAATAGATCTTTATTAATAACATGCACATCATACGTATATTTAAAATACATATACATTTTTTCTACTATTCACTTTAGAAAACAATTTCATAAAAACCTTCAGTCAGGTCCCAGGTAATTTTAAACATTAAAAGGCTTTTTTTTTTTTTGTTACAGAACCAGTAGGTATTATTCCAATTATTTGGTGTATAATCACCACGTATTTAACATAATGCAGGCTCATGCATTTCAATAGAAATAGGTGTTCCCTTCTCTGCTTTGTCAATCATGTCAAATATATGATGATATACTTGACAACACCTGCCACAGTTGTCATATGCAGCTGTGATTCCCTCCTGGGAGTGTTCTACAGGTGATCTTTAAAATCTGGAGACAATTTTTTTACAACTTTCAGAGTTCCTGCAAGGAGCTCCTGGTACTGCAAGTGGCCCAGAGCCCAACTACAGCGGGAACCAGACAAACAGAATTTCATGAATGTTGGAGAGCAAAGCAATCTGAAAAAAGAAAAGAGGGAATTGGCAAATCCCCTCTCGTGTTCATGGCAAACTGAGGTCAGGGTTGGGTTTCCCAAGGTCCTGCCAAGTACCAAATCAGGTCTGTAGGGAGTGCACAGAGTTACCAGCGAGAGACGGTTTGCGGATTTACAGAACATTTACAAAGGCTCGTACGAGGGTGGGACTTTAAGGCACAATAGTCCATGTACTCCACACATTCATTGGAAAACAGAAGTTCAATTTACAGTGCAAGAGAGATGTACTGAAGAGCTGAAGCGGCAGCTCGGGGCTCACGGTCACCAAGAAGGCGGCGACCGACGGGGATCTGCAGCCCCAGCCTCAAGCTCGTGCACATGCTGAGCATCAAGCACACGAGGAGCCTCTGGGGCTCCAGGGACAGGAGTGAGGAAATGGGGTGATAACCCAAGCATTTACAGGATCAGGGCCCTAATGTCACAGAATCATGGAATCATGGGACGGTTCGAGTTGGAAGAGACCTTGAAGACCGTCTGGTTCCAACCCTCCTGCCATGGGTGGGGACACAACTCCACTAGAGCAGGTTGCTCAAACTCAGTGTTGGGGTTCTGCACCAGATCCCATCCACACCCACACTGTGGCCCCCACAAAGGTGCCCCGTGCACCCTTCACCAGCATGACCAGCCAGAAAAGCAAGACAAAGAATACTCAACTCATGGAAACACTAATTACAGCCAAGTGTGCTGCTGTTCCCAGGTGAAAATGAATTGTCCTAAGCCAGTCATTTTCAAAAGGATCAGCTCTCCTCACCAAGTCTGTCCTGGTTACCCAGCTCATCTATATTCCCTCTGATGAATATTCTATCTCCAAGGCAACTGAGTCAAAGGGAAGCAAGGACTTTCTTTACATCCAGTGCAAACATAGCCCATATGTAGGAGTTCCTAATGCAGTCATAATAGAACATATATATATATAAAAATCTATCTCAGTGAAAGTTGACCACCTACAGACAGATTCTCACATCAGAAGCCAGAAGAGCCGAACTGTAGCTACAAACCCAAAAAAGAAAAATCACTGTATGTAGCTGTATTAAAATGCTGGTACCCAGTAACTTGACAACTAAATGTTAAAATCAATATAAGTATATAATTCAAAAAGGTGTCAAATATTTTGGGAGTAACTTGCAATGTTATTGCACATTTGTACTTCTTTATCACCCCATAAACTATTTTTAAGCACTCAAATCAAAATTTTCAGACCCACTTTTCAGCAGCACCAATGCTGGGCAAAGCAGAAGCAGTAAAAACTGAAGCAGACTTAAAGCACATAGAATAGTGAACCTTTGATTCAATTCCATATCAAAAAGTCAACCATAAAAAACTCAATTTGTTCTCTAGAAAGAAATCATCCATTTTAACAACTCCTGGAGCAAGTGAAAATTAAAAGAAGAGACAATGTGTTTTCTTCAAGAAAACAGCACATGAGAAAAACATTACTAAATTATCATCCTCTTTCCTAGGTAGCCCAAGGAGTTTTGTGACCTGATGCAGATTTTTGTCTGTTATATCTGTTCAGTTATCACAATGCCTTCACAGAGAAGCTTTCAACAGGCAAGAAAGTATCTTCCTCTTTCAGCAGTCAAAGAACCTCTTCAAAGGTGAATCTGACAGGGCCAATGTTTTTTTGTTCAGGTGAGGTTAAAGACTTTGATCCTACTGAGCTTTTTCATTTCACTAAAACATTTCTAATTTTAAGTTAAAAGATTTGTTTATTCAAGCCAGAACCATCCTATGAATATAAAAAGCCAGCCAGCAAGAGAAAAGAAGCATTTAAGCATTTCCTGTACATGCTAGATCGTTATGAAATCAGATGAAAACCGACACAAAGAGGGGGGGAAAAAAGCATAAATCAAACCACTTCAGAGTGGAAAATTACATGGTTTGAAAAATCAGAAGACAGGAGCAATTTTCCTTTACCATTCCCCCAGCCCTGGGGTGGCTCGGGGCGTTCCTGGTGCCGCAGAGGCCAGAGGGATAATGGCACCTCTGACAACAGCAAAGGGCTTCTCTGCCAGCTCTTACTGCTCACACTGGGGCTGTCCTGCAGACCTGATCATCAGCCTGGGCTCTACCAGCCCCTTTTCCACTGGAAATTTCTCAAACTACATTGAAACCATTTCTCGAATCATGCAACTGGACCAGCTGCGTGGTTTCAGGCTGGTGCAAGCCCAGGGACAGCAGGAATCAAACCATGCACAGCCAGCAAGCTCTGAGGCTGAACTGCACTGGCTAAGGATTGAAAGACACCCTTTTCTAAGAGATAAGTAAATATGACTTGTCTCAAAGCAAAAACAGAGATCTGAACAGTCATCGTGACTAACAGCACCTCCCAAACAGCACTGCCCTGTTTTTTCAGCCTTCCCACAGTATCTGAGATGTTTATATTCTCCAGTTTGCAGGTTATCCTTGTTTTACAAGATTACACTGCTGACATTCATTTTTTTTAATTAAAAAAAAAAATCTGAATTTTTCTGCTTCCTTCTGTCTCCTAAATCTCTACTGACTTCTCACTACTGACACCAGAGTTAACTTTGTTCTTCACACCTTTTTGCTTTTGCTTTTCTGCCTTTTCTCCAGCACTAAGACGTGCCTGGGAGCTGTGATGATATGTGTGACACACACGACCAGGGCGCTCTGAGCAGGGTGACAGGAGGAATCTGACACAAAAAGCACATTCCTAGCAAGCCACAGTATTTGTTCACACTATAGAATGCTTCAGAAATAGCATCAGCCACATCTGCAAGAGCAAAGCCTTTCAAAACAAATAAAAAATTAGGTTCTTAGATATATATGTATATATATGTATATATGTATATATATATATATCTGCCTCCAGCTGAGTGTGCGCTATTATTTACTTTGTTTTAAAGCTTTAAAGTGGTGATAGCCAGCGAGGCAAAGCCAACAGACCTGTAGGACTTTGACAGGCTTTGAACCATCTCGTGTGTTTGTTCAGCAGTTCTGGGATTCAGGTCCCTAACAGCTAATTTACAGGCTTGTTAATCACATTCCTCCAAATTATAGTGCAATCTCTGCTTCTGACCCCATTGCTGGAGCATCATCTTTTCCCTAATGTTACTCTTTGGTATTTTCGTGACGTAGCTTTGGCAGCTAAGAAACTTTCCACTTGTAGTCATTCCATTTGCTGAACATCCCACGTGCCATAGCTTGTGAAATATATATATTTACATATTTTAAAGTTAATTCCCAGATTGAAATTAGACATTTCACTTAACCTGAAACATTATTGTTAATGCTGAGCAGTTTCATCAGGAGAGCCTCTGAGGTCTTACCATCATCTGTCAGATACATTCATTCTCTATCCATGAGAGTTATCATTGTTTTTCTGCCTTTTATAGTCCACATAAAAGGAAATTGCTGTCTATTCCCTAGCACCAGTGTGAACCTCGGGCCAAACAGCAAATTAGCATGCAAAGAAGTATTCGGGGAAACAGCTAGGGAAAGAGGCAAATGAAGTTAAGGGAACACTGATGATGGGCTGAAGAAACAATCTTTCCTGTGAGTCATTCTGGTTTGTATTAAAATAGCAAAGTAGATACCAGCTAAGAGATAATATAAGTAAAAAGTGAATGCAATTAATTTTTTTTAAAAAACCAACCCACAAACCCTTGCAAATCTCAGTATAGAGTGTCTGTAAGTAGCAAGCGAGTTCAGTCTCCGAAAATCCTAAACTACAGACTGATTCCTTTGGCACTGACTCCTTCATGGTCAAGGAAATTCTCAAAGAAACTTTCTGTCTATACTTTTACAGCAGATAACTTGAATTTTACTCCTCACTGTTAGACTACTCCACTGCTTCGGGGGCTCCCCTTGCACCGGGGCTGGCGTAATTTAACTGCAAAAGGGATTTGGAGCATCCGTATCTACACACAAGGTAACTTTAAGTGCAGCTTGGTTTCTACAAACGGCCTTGCACGCAGTCTCTGCAGGTTTAGGACCTCTGCACTGCACCTCTCTGTGTGTACAGCAAGGTGTTTCACACCGGGGGTTAACAGCGGGGTCTGCAGAGCATTTTCCAAAGCACCTTCCACTCAGCTCCCTGCGCCTCCACCTCCATTGCAAACACATCTGCAATTAGTGCCTCATCTCAACACCTCAACAAGCAGTCCAAGCATTCAGAAACAAACATCAGTGGGTCTAACAGCTACTTTTAATTCATTTTATAAATAAGCAACTGAGAATTTTGCTCCAGGTGGCTGCCCGTGTAGCCCATCCCGTAGACGGCATTCTCTGCAGAGTAAGGCACGATGCGATACGAGTGCAGCTCTTCATAATAGAGCGACTGGGAACAGCACTCCTGCACCATCAGCTTCAGCCGTTTTCGTGCGTCAGAGTAGGCAGTCCTATAGCACGGAGCCTCCTTAAAGTATTCATAGCTCTCCCTCTCTGTCTCTAGGTGAATCTTCCTCAACAGATTGTTAATTAATACAGACCTACGGAGATAGGCTTCGGGGTCGTCCAGGAAGCGGAGTTTCTGGAGAGACAGTTTTAGGATACAAGTCCGGTCCTCCGGTAGTATCAGGTGCTGGGGAGTAAATGGATGGGTCTTTAGCATCAAGGAATGAAATTAGGGGGAGGGCGGGGTCTAGAACGAGAGAGATACTCACTTTTGGACAATACTCATGGTAATCCTGATGTAAATGTTCTTCTTCTGCATATTTTCTCTTAAAGTAAGCTACTTTCGACGTCGTTAATGTCTTTGGTAGGCCCCGATCAGATCAGCTCTGCACAAAAGAGGAAGAAGAAAGTCAGCATTGGCCAGGGTGGCTGCAACATCGCAGTCTGGGGTGTGCAGGGCAAGGAGGCATCCAGAGGGGGAGTGCAGCCAGGACAACACTCAGCCTCAGCCTGCAGCCCTCAGCCCGCTGGAAGAGCAGTTGAGAGGCTGAAAAATGTGAAGCTGTCTCTGAAACAGCCACCCTGAGGCTTGCCAGCACAGCCAGCCCCTCTCCCCTCCCTGGAGTGACCACCACAGCAGCAGGCACAGGCAGATCTCCTGGTCCTACAGCTGACTGGGGTGATGGGGCCAGCCACAGCCTCACAGAGCGGGCAGGAGATGCCCTAGATGGGAATGTCACCGTGCACTGCAGGAGGGACCAGGATGGGGCCACCTGTGTGCAGGACCCTGTGCCCTGCTGTGGGCTGTGCGGGCCGAGGGTGGGGTTTTGATTTCAACCCATCATGCCCGGAGCTCCGTGGCTTCCCTGGAAAACCGGTGCAGAGAGCATTCACTAGATGGTAGTGTTGTCTCAGAAGAGCCCCAGTTCAAAGGGAGGGTGATGGAGCTGGTTTGTTCTCTGGGTGGCTTGTTTTTCAGGGCACAGAGGATGGAGGTTCAGCATTTAAGATAAGAAAAGGAATTACTGGGCTTTTGTCCTGTGACAAGAGCCATGGGGACATCTGTTCCTCCAGAGCTGAGCCCTGCAGAGGACCAGGGCACTCTGGGCACTTTCAGCATGGCCTGGCTGCCTGATCTGACCTTGCTCATTTCCCTGGAAAGGTGACATGGTGCTAATTTGGCACCTTAATGAGGTCCATAATTCCAGTGGTACTCAGCCTGGTGAACACTGGGTCCCTGTGAGAGCCAGGGCTTTGCTTGGCTATTCACCAGAAAACACAAGGAGCCCTGTGCATTTCTGGGAAGCAGAAACCTCCTTCTAGACCATCCCTTTTGTAAGAAATTTCTGATATTTGCTTTTAAATGTATTTAAAAAAAACAAACACCGAAGCTTTATTATACTGATGTCTAAAGGCAAGCCAGGGGAAAAAATGTATCTAGAGACACTGCACAGAATAACTCAAAGCCAGGTCCTATAGAAGCTATTTTCTTTCCCAGATTGGGATCTCCTAATGGGAGCATTTGAAACTTAGATTTTCTGAAGAAATAAAGGATTTGGTTCCCTGACACAATAGAAAGGCAATAATGTACTGCACAGCCAGAACACAGACTTCATGTTGCTGAAAGGATCCTTCCATGGGGCATGAGGGGCTCCTTGAGCCTTATTTGCTGCTGGGGGTGATGAGATACCCACACAACCATTCCAGGGGCTGACAGCATCTCTTCTTCACTGGCAGAAAGGAGCAATGTGCTCTCCCTTCCTTCTTCTACATCAAAAAACCACAAGAAAGGGCTGAAGAAGAAATCCCTTCTATGAGAGGATTCTTGCATTTTCTCACTGAATTTTAAGTCTGTGAGGATGGAGGTTTTTCATGAAGATCTGCAGAATCCTTCATTAAAGGGATGAAACCCCATTTGAAGCCAAGACCCCTGGAATTCATCAGGGCATGGATTGCTCTTCAGAGCAGCAATTCTCCAGGAGAGGGACTATTGCTCTTACAGTGGGACAACACTGCCAAGGTTGTCAGGGTTCTAGTTGCCCTGGACCACCACACACATCAGAGATGCTCCCAGCACCCACCTCAGCCCTCAAGGGCAAGGGCAGGGCTGTGGTCTTCACCACTCCACTGGCATTGAGTTTAAATCACAGGTTTAAATTCATGTGCAGCAACCTTCTTTACCTGCAGGTTTCATTCCAATATTTGAGTTACACCAGAGCCTGGGCAGCCTGGATATTTAATTACTCTGATATCGTGCTCTCCCAGGTGGAAATCCCACTGTGCTGTGTTATCTGAGCACAACAACAAACGCATTTATCTCCCAGTGCCATGGGATGGGAGAACATTACAGTTCTCCTCACACTGCTCTGAGGAAGATAAAGGTACACAGGCAGATGAAGTGACATTCCCATAGCCACCCAGGCTGTCAGGGCTGGGACAGGAGCCAAAACCAGCACACAGGTAGGTACCTTCCTCCAAACCAAACCTCTACATGCTAAAACACACTTCCTAGTGTTTTTCAGGGAAAAGGCTGGAAGCACAACCCTATCACTGCCTGTGTGCAGTGGAAGCAGAAAATAATCCTTAGTGCAGGGACAGCACAGACAACCACAGCACTCAGAGCATCTCAGCTCAGTTCTGCAGCTCCCCCAGCTCCATGCAAAACTGTCCCTTGCTGCTCCAAGCCACGGGAATTCCACTCCCTGCCCCAGGGATGGAAGGTGACTGTGAAATTCAGCATCCCCTGAGCACAGGTGGTGCAGGAGACATCAGGGAGCTGGGACAAGGGAAGGAGCACTGGCAGCCTGTGGCTGGGAGGGAAAGAGGGCTCTGGGCTCCACGGGCTGGAGGCTGGTGCTGGCTGGCAGGAGCAGACAGAAAAAATGCATTTTGCTGAGGGACACACATGATCATCCTCCTGGCAGTGGGTTCACTGAGCACCCAACTGGCATCCCCTTTCTGGGGTTAGGTCCAGCACCAGCCTGGAACATACCCTTGGCTGGCTGAATTTCAATTTCTAAAGACCTTACATCAGTTAAAGCAGCAAAGTTGTCATGACCTCCTCACCCCAACACCCATAACTTAGTTTTGGAGCAAGGAAGGGAAACAACAAGCAAGCAAACACCAAGAGCATCTCTAGGCTGTAAGTTTGGCTTGAAATGTGTTCTCAGTTTTAAATGAAAAATTATTTGAGGAGCAAAGTAGCCCCAAGCTGCTCAACACCACACCATCTGTCAGCAAATCCCAGCAGCTCCAAATCTGCAGAGTGGAGCACCCTCTTCCCCAGCTCAGCTCGGGGGAGCTGTCCCCAGGCTCAGCCCCTGGGAGGGAAGGGGTGCTGCCTGCACACCTGCAGGGTGAGACAGTGAGCTGGAAGCTCCCAAATCCCATCCCAGGGCTGCTCAAGAGAAGTTCAAGGTCTGTTCTTGTGATCAGTGCAGTGGCCATCCCACCACCGCTCATTTCATCATCGTCATTTTCGTGGCTGCCGCTGGTGCCCACACATCTGTCTGCAGGTTCAGGAAACGAGAGCATGAACTGTGACCTTGCACTGGTGCTGTCAACACCAGCAGCGATGCTAAAACCCTCGAGGGACCCCTCTCCATGCAGGAGAGGACCAAGCCTTTCTCTAACCCTTATTGGAAGTCAGCACTCCACGGCTGGGAGCTGCTTGGCTGGGGTTACAGCCATCCAAGGCTGTAGTAATGCCGCAGTGAATCAGACCCTTCGTGTTTTGTTTAAATATAAACACATTGAATCAGTGCTTTTTGTGCAGAAGGCTATTCTCGCGAGCCAAGTGTTTTGACAGCTCCAGCAAGGTGCTGTGAGTCACTGCCTCTGCCTCACTCAAGCTCAGAGACAGATACATCTTAATCACATTACGTTTTTTCCAGCGCTCCACCACAAGTCAAGGCACGGGGCCAAATCTCCCCACGGGGACCAAGCAGCACAAGCGCTGAGCCCCGAGCCTGAAGGTTTGTCCTTCCAGCCCGGATGAGCGTCGGGAAAGCGCATCCAGCATCCCGGCAGCGAGCCCTCCGCCGCTCCCCGAGGGCTCGCTGCAATTTGCGGCGGCGGGCGGTGCCGGGGGGCTCGGCAGCCCCGCTGCCCGGTGCTCACACCCCGCCGGTGCCTGCTCGGAATGCGCAGAGCATCGGGGCACGGCGGCTGGAGCTGCCATTAGCGCTAATGGAAGTTCGGGGTATAAATCCCACGCGCGGCAGTGAGGGAATAAGGCGCCTCTGTCTCAGAGTCAGCTTCGCAAGGGCTTTAATTGCGCTTTCAACAGAGCAAAGTGTGTCCGTTCCTGTTTATTTCTCCGGGAATAATTATGGTGCTCTGTGGCGTGGTACTCGCGGAGTTATAAGGCATGTTTGGACAGAGGGCTGTCTTATCTAAATTGGATTGGAAATAGATTTATATCGTGGCAACTTCCCATTTGAACTGCAAATTGCAGCAAAGTCGCTTCACCTGCGCTCCTGCATCGCCCCAGTGACAGCAGCCCCTCCTCGGCATGAATTAATGCCGGGCGATTTCCACAGCCTAGCCGAGACAGGAGCTAAGACGGGGTTTAAAAAATGATTGAACATCCAGAGGAAAAAAAAAAAAAAAAAAATACACACCTCAGCTTGTGCTTCTGCATCTCAAACAACAGAGAGACATCTGCAAGCCTCGTCACAGAACTTGTGCGTGAGCCCTTGGGAGCATCCCTTCACCTGCCTGCTCCCGCACCTCCCCACCTTTCCTCGGGAAAAAGAAATCCTCCCTGCCTGCTCAGCGCTGCAGAGAAAGGGCTCGTCCGAATCGATACTCGTAGGTTGTTGATGCAGACATCTGCAGGGGGTGAGCACGGAGCCGGCTGGCCGAGCCAGCCCCGCCAAGCTGCGGTGACTCAAATGTGCCGCTGCCCTGCAGGGCTCCTATCGCAGCCTGAAGCAGAGGGATCAATATGGAGCTACAGCTGCCTGAGACGGAGACCTTCGCTGAGCATCTCTTGCGTGCTCAAGCACAAAACCTGAGGCTTCTGAGCGCACAGAAACTGGCCTTTATTATCAGCGGGAGACGTGACTTTGACACGGCAGGTCGTATCATCGTGTCCTTGCGAATGCTGTCAACCCGCGGTGACAAACTCCCCCTCTCCAACCTTCCGAGCACTCCCAATTAGGGGGTGCTCAGCTGAAACGTGCGCCTGGTTTCACATGCTCTGCTGCTGCTTTTCTCCTTTCCTAGGGCAGCATAAGCAGCAGGTCCCACTGTGGGATCCTCAGCTGATAGTGCAGAGCTACCAGACCACAGGCAGATGAACATGTGGATCGAAAACACATGCCAGCCCCAGGATTGCACGCGGCTGCCAATCGATGGCAGCCCTCCTAGCATATCGAACCTTATCAGCCAGAGCAAGCCCCCTTTCATTGACTCACGGCGAGGTGGGGACCCCCAGCCGCACTCTCGTCTGCTGCCTTTGCACTTGAAAGCCGCCTTTTGGTTTGCTGATTGTTCTGCAGATCTCCCTAATTGCAGATTCTCCCTGGGCACACACGTGTGTACAAGGCACAAGCGTCTGAATAGCTCTCGTGAGGGCATGAAGGCATGAGACTTAATGGCTGAGTGACTATTCCTGTCTTCCCTCCTTAGAGTCCCACTGCTTTCCCCAACAGAATAACAAAATAATCCCAGGTTCACCCCCTTTCCACATTAATCCCAGTAAATTCCCTCACTCGGCCCAACCAGCTGAAGTTTGCAAACTTGTTAGTTACCTGAGGATGCGGAGTCAGCCTGCAAAGGGTCTTTCTGGGGTAACCTCAGCAGTTCTGGTAAGATTTCCCCCTCGCACGGGCTCAGCGAGCATTTCTGGCAGCACGGCACTGCTGAATGGTCACCTGCCGTGGTGGATCAAGGAGAAACACACATGGCTCAGGTGGCAAAATCAGGACAAACACAGCGAGCAGCTGGACCACAAGAGAAGAAAGTGCTATTTCAGCATCCCCACAGGGCTTAGTAACAGGGATAAATAAGAGTTCTGATGTTACACCCAATTCTCTAACTTTGACCTTGCTTCCTGGAGTGCCTTTCACACATCAGGAAAGTAGATAAAACATTAAGAAAAAAAAAAAAAATTTCAGTCTCTCAGTGGTGTAACTATAATCCTCTCAGAGCAAATGATGCAAAAATACAGCTTGCTCCTCTAAATATCCGGATGTTTCTGGAGCTAGAACATTAATTCTGCCCCAATCACCTCTTAAAATGGCACATTATTTTCTCCATTAATTCTTGTCAACCTCAGAGGAAAGCTAAAGGGCTGCTATTAAAATCATGCCATTATTTTGAATAGCAGCATTAATTTTCTATCGTACACTCACACTGCCTGCAGAACAGTACAGGTCTGGGGACAGTCAGATTCCCATTTCTCTTTAACAGGGTGCACATTTCAGAGTTTGCCTGACATACATTTTCCATTTGCCTTCCGGGTGAAGCATTTGGCACGCTGTAGTAAGAACATCTCCCGCTCTCATGGGGAAATACGATCACAGATACATGTGTATACCTAAACTCTGCACTTTTACATGCGTGTGCCAGAGACACTCAGACTTTTTGAGTACATGAACGAAATTAGACATGCCTAAATCCTGCAAGAGAGAAAGGAAAAGAGAGCTCATGTATGTGCGTACTCGTGTCTCGCAGCTATAAGACAACTAAATTTAGACAGTTGTGTCATCCCAGAGGATGACAGCATTAACAGGCGATGGAAAGAGGAGCTGTGGTTACTTTTCAGAGTTCAGCTCTGGCCATAAAAAGAGGACTCTGATTGAAATGACCTTTCCTAGAGTCCGGCAGAGCAGCAGCACCTCTGCCCGTGGCACTGCGGGACGCGCGGAGCCTCCCTCCCGGCTCTTCCCTCTCCCACGCTGCAGCAAAGCCACGAGAGCTCCCAAAAAACCGCAAAACTTCCTCCACGCCAACAGCCACCTGCTAAACCCTTTGGAGCAGATCCCACCAGCAAAAACCGCCCCCCATCACCTCGCTGACACGGGCAACCGCGCAGCTCGCTGCTGCGCCGGCTCGGTGGCACTCACCCAGCGAGCCCCGGCTCCAGCGGGAGGGCTGCTCCGTCCTTCCCTCGCTGCTCCTGGAGGAGGTGGCGGCGGTGCTGCTGGCGGCGGTGGCAGCTCCTGCGGGTCCCTGCAGCCACTGAGGAGCGCATCACCTCCCGGCCGCAGCCCGCGGAGGTGGGTGCCCAGATGTTCCCCGCGCGGATTGGTCCAGCGGGAGCAGATGTTGCCCGGTTGCTAGGAGCGTTGCTAGGAGCGCTGCTAGGAGACGGTGACGCTCTCTCCATCACTGGCGCGACTCGAGGCCGCGGGGAGAGAGGGAGGGAGGGAGGAGGAAGAGGGGAGGAGGGAGGAGCAGGTCCCGCCACCGGGATGCTCCGCGCCGGGCGAGCCGGAGGATGGAGCGGGTGCCGCGGCTCAGAGCTGGACAGGCGGTGAGGAGCTGCCTGGGGCTTGCGGCGGAGGTTGGGGACGTGAAACGCCAGAACAGGGAAGGGGGAGCAGCCTGGGGAGGGGGTGGGCAAGGGGAACCATAAAACCTCCCATCAAGGCGGACTGAGGGGTGCGCGGAGCGGGCCGGCGGCCGCGGAGGTGCCGAGCGCTCCTTGCGGCACTGAGAGGAGAGAGCTCTGCTCGCTGCAGGGCAAGACTGGGAGAAACACAACCCAGTGCCTGGAAGGGCCGGAGGGAGAGGAGTCCAATTCGGTCCTGCTGGCAGAGAGCCGAGCTCTTCTGATCTCTTACCGGGTCATGCTCCTCTTCCCTCCTGATTTATGATTTTCCCTTTTCCTTCCATGCCCACCATCAGATCCTGGCCCACTTTTTCCCCTGAGCTTTTAGGATGTTCCACCACAGTGCCTTGGGTCCCACCCTGGCACTTACACCCATGATGCCATGGCCAGGAATTGGATTTCTGTAGAGAAAAAAGCTGCACAGCAATACAGCCCAGACCTCCTCTCAAATGAAAGAGCAGGTCACTGTGGGACAGGACAGCTCCTGCATCTCAGCCAGATTTTACTGCTGAGCACACTCCTTAGGGCTATAGGTGGGACAGCAGGCTCAGCCTATCCTCACAACCAAGGGTCCACCCAGAAAGGCCCAGAAAAAGCTCAAAAGGAGTCAGCAAAATCCTACCTGTATAATACAGTGTGCAAAAAGAGGGGAGATTCCTTTTCCTGAAAGCCTAGATCTGTATGTAAATACTGGCAGATAGGAAGGTAAAAAAAGTTTGTTTTGTTTTTTTTTTTTTATACACCAGCTATGTGTAGGGACCTTCTCTGGAAGAAGTGGGTCACTCCCAGAGTGAAAAGGAGTTGCACAAGATGAGCTTTTCTGGACAGCCAAATGGTGCCAATGGCTGCACTGGAGTAACTGGTACAACACTGGCTTAGATCAGCCCCATCACCAAGCCTGGGCTTTGATCAGGACTTTTCTGCAAGAAGAAACATCTCTAGACAATAAATTTGCCTCTGCACTTGCTAGCTGTGTCCATTTCCTCACAGCTACTGTGGATGACACCACTGTGCCAGACTCATGTTCATGCCACAGCCTCCCTATCCAAGCAGTCACTCAGCCCAGCCCAGAGAATTTCAGAATGGTTTTGGAAGGAACCTTAAAGATCATCTTGTTCCACCCCCTGCCGTGGGTAGGGACTCTTCCCACCACACCATGTTGCTCAAATCCCCATCCAGCCTTACCTCAAACACTTCCAAAACAACTACTGCCATCTCCCATTGATACTAAAGGTGAATCAAAGGCTCAGACAGTGCCAAAACAAGGCGAGGTGCAGTGGGAACATACTCATTTTGACAGCATTTGAAGCTCCTGGGCAATTCCCTGCTCCCCTGTGATCTGTAAGATGTCTAATGCATATTCTACCTGGTCGTGTCACTGCTGGAAGGACACAGGGAGTTCCCCTCCCTCTGGTTGCTCCATGAAGATTCTGCAGAGGATTTCGCAGCAGGCTTTGTCCTCTTCCCTCTTAGACAGGGGGAACAGAGGCACACTGCTTTTGGCATCCACCTGGATCAGTATCTCACCCAAATTTTAACAAACTGGGTCTTGGCAAGCCTGAGACTCAGCTAGCACATGTCAGTGCAGCAGCCTCAGATCAGTTATTCCTTTGACTTGGATCACCTGGCTGCATTTGGTGCTCAGTCTGCACAAACATGGGCACACATGGCTCCCCTGGTCTTTGCAGCTTGAGAAAAGATCGTTCATGGCCACATATTTACTTCAAATTATCCCTGAAACTCTGCTTCTTTTATTGAGAAGTCAAATGAAACACCAACTAATTTCAGATTTGAATTTTCTAGGACAATAGGAAAGCACTAGAGTTTAATTGATTTTGATTACCTGCCTTATTATTATGCTGTCAGTAGCAGTAGTTCAGGTTGGTGTAATTTTAAATTTACTGTGAGGTGAATCTGACATTTCTCTACTGCTGAATTGAGGACTTGAGCAATTCTTCAGCTCTTCACAAAGATGTCATAATTAATTCAGTAATATCCCTTCTATAAGCAGAGATAGAAAAGGAAGACACACAAGCACCTACTCCATGCCTAAAAGCTGAATGAACGACAGCATCACTCACTCCAGTCTCTGTGAAATTTACTTTATTTTTTCCTAACAATCAAGACAATTTCTGCTGCAGAGACACATCTTCCCCTCTCCTGTCAGCACAAAAGCAGTACTTACTAGCAGGCAATTATATACAGCCAAAAGATCAGCTGTGTTTCCTCAGCTGGATCCAAGTGTTTCCATCCCCTGACCAGCCCTGAGGAAATTCTTCCACAATGCAACTGCAGCTGCTTTTCTTTGCCCACCTTCCAAGGGGGCAGAGAGTGCAGGGAAGCAGATTCCTCTGCCAGTGTAACCAGCACAGCTCTGCTGGCTCAAAGGGACCTCCATCAGGAAGGAGAGAAGATGTTCCATCTCACCCCATCCCATCTCCTTCCTGCTGCCATGGAAGCAGGAAAAATCACCTCCCCCCCTTGTCTGGAGAGGAGTTCTCCCCTCTGCCAGGGATGCCTGGTCAGGAGTCACTGCCCAGCTGACTCACACAGTGTTTTAGTGCAGCAGAAATTAAACAGACCCATGATCTGGGACCAAAGTCTCTATTGACAGGGATATTGTTTGAGAAGATAAGATTTTAAATGTGTTCTGCAAAAGATAAAGCCTGGACAGGCAGACAATAGAAGAGCAGCTTTTCCCTTTTATTTTAGTTTTTTGAAAGCAGGATTGCCTGACATATTCAGTGCTGTAACAAATACATGTTTTTGAACGGTTTAGAGCAATTGGAAATATAAAACCCCAGAACATTAGCATTTACTTTAACTATCTCACAAAATTATAAAAAAAGTCAGTTCCTTCATTTCAAAGCTGTTATGTCTCCTCAAATCAAGTGTTAAAGAAAAATGAATTAAATTATGGTGCCCTTTTGAATTCAAGCACATTCAAAAGATGTGTGTAGAAAAGCACCAGCCCTCCCAGGCTGCATATACCTCCACAGGTGCTGCATTTCTAAACACAGCATGCAGCAGGTATTTTCAAAAAATAAAATGAACCCAAAATGTTCTGCATTTGTACCTGAGAAGTTTCAGATGTGAGGAGCTGCATCCTGGGCTAGGTTTTATCCTCAGCCTGGCCCACTCAGCTGCCTCCAGCAGATACAGACTGTCAAAAGCTCTCCCAGCCATTGGCTTGTCACAGCAAATGAAGATGAGTGGCTCCAGTTTCTGGACCCTGTTCAAGCCTCCCAGTGGTTGGCCAGCCTCAGAGGGACCAGATGCCTTTAGAGGCTAATCCTACCTCCATCTAAAATGCAGACAGATCTTTCTCTTTCTGTTCTTTCTGTACTAGAATACTATTTTTCACCTCTATCTTCCAATTCATTATACAAGAAAATTTGTTGGGTTTTTTTTATTATTTTACCTTTTTACATTTGAGAAAAACTTTTAAAACCTTCTGAAACAAGCTGGAGAAGAGAAGAAAAAATGAAGTTAATTTTCTAGCATATCTGTGCTCTTTATTCCCTACACTCTCCCCACATCCCCAGCCAAATTCCACCATGTCCCCTTGGACACCCCCAGCTCGACCAGAGGCAGCACATGCTGGAGCTGTCACAATGGACCAGCTCACCAACCCTTGGCCATCAAACCCACTCCTTTCTGCTTCTCTGGAAATGATCCTCTGCCAGCTGACAAAATCTGTAGAAGCATAACTGTCTTTGAGACAGTTACCCTGCTCTCAAATGTGATTGAAATTGGCCAACCTGTTAAAAAGTGATGGTGGTGGAAGAGAGACTGGCGAGGAGACAGATGGCAGACAGCTCAGCTTTAGCCTCCACTGAGCTGATTGAGAAGTGGGAATGCTTTCACCCTCTCGTGAAAAATGATATCACCCTTTCACTGAAATTCAAAACTTAGTTTCCTGACATTAAAAATGTGACTTTTCCAAGTGGTCAAAATTAGGATGAAAAAGAAAAAAAAAATAAAAAGATGCCTTGACAAAGCAGCACTTGGTGCTTTGCCAAGGGATGAAGTCATTCTGAAGAATTAAAATGCAGCTGGAGGAAGGACAGGATAATCAGAACGATAAAACATAACACAGCCGGGAGCCCGGCGGGGCCCACACGTGCTCGTGCTGAGCAGTGCTGTCCCAGCAGGAGCAGCAAGTGGAGTGCTAAACCCTTGCATTTGCATGAGCACAAACCTGAGTTTTTACTACCAAATTCATGGGCAGACTCATCTGGGCCAAGCTGACCAAGTGCTGGCACCAAGACCTACGGCCCAGTCGCCTCTCCCTGAGCTCAGCGGCAGCAGCTCCATCGTGGAGTGTGCTGAGCTCACACGGGGTCACGGGCAAGTCTGCCTGCAGGAATGGAACAAACCTTGGGCTGGTTAGCCCTGAACTGGGAATCAGCCTGGGAAAACCCACCTGAGGCTGAGGACACTCCCAAAAAGGACAGGGTGAGGCTGTAGGAACAGCAATGCAGTGCCCAAGTCCCCCAGAGCCACCACCGGCATCCCTCGGCACTGGGGCTGCTGGGGAGGAGAAGGGTGAGTTGGTGGGAGAGCTGGGCAGGGAGATTTTTAACTGGTTTTCAGAAAATGCAGTAAAAATGAGGTGAAGCAGTGTTAGGGTAACCAAGCCAGGAAAACTGTCCTGGCACTGACTCACACGTGGCAGCAGCACCCACCTGAGCCCCCAAATCCCTGAGCAGACAGTGCCTGGCTCTGCAGATCCCCTTCTGTGCCTGGAGGAGCTGCTGGGGGACTGCTGCCTCCCAGAGCAAACCCCAGCCCACCCTGCAGCCCTGCCAGCCCTCTCAGCTGAGCCTGGTCACCCACAAACATCAGCCCTTAGCAGAACATGTATTTCACCCCCAGTTTACACCAAGGAGGGGGAGTTTTTCCAAACTCCCTAGTTTTTCTCTGAGCCTCCCAGCATATCCCATTTCTCCCCTGTCTTTAAGATGACCCCCTAGGCTGAGCTTTCTGTGTCCTCAGACATGTCTTGTATCAACTGCCTTTGCTGAGGTTTCCAAGCACTGAAGCCACCAACTGTTGCCAGAAAAAGAAACTCTATTTCAGGGCTGGTCCTGGAAAGCCAACCCTGTGGGTGCCAGCAGGGCTGCAGAAATCGTGGTTTCTCATGTCTCCCTCAAATCTGGCACTGCTATTCTGAGAGGAACAAACTAACCCCAGTTCAAAGTCAAAATTCCAACCTGGGAATTTTTTTTAGCTCCTATCATTCTCCATCTTAATGTGGGCAGAGATTACAACTGCAACCTGCCAGAAGTAAACCACTCACAAATGCATCATGACCAAAGGTGGATGCAAACAAAAGCAGCCACCAGACACACACAGACACACCCTTTGTTGGCCCAATTTCACCTCCCCAGCTCATCATTTGAGCTCTTACCTTTGTTTCCACCAAGTGGCCACCCCAGCTTTGATGGGGGCATCCCAGGCTGGTATCTGCACACACCAGGGACACTGGTGGCACTGGCTCTGTGTGCCACAACATCACTGGTGTGCAGGAGAAATGCTGAGGCCAGGGTCCCACCACAGAGGGGGCTGGGGGGCTTCTCTCCCAGCTCCTGCCAGGGCTGGATGAGACAGCAGGGAAGGACAGATGTCAAAGGCACAGCCAGCACTTTCCCTTCCCCACACAGAGCTGGCTGGATGGCTCTGTGCAGAGGGAAGCAGAGACATGAGGGTGATGCCTTAGGATTTAGCTCTTCTATTTTTCAGGTTCTGTACTGCTTTTGTGCATAACTCTAAAACTCCATAGCCTGTCAGCTGCTCTTCTCCCCTTTTGTTCAGACAAAAAATTCCTCTCTTGGCCTGAAACTCAAGGACACCTCATTGTGTCAGGCCTGAGAGATGCAAATAACAGTGAATTGAGGAGGCCAACTTGGAGTAAATCACTTCATTATCTGAAACTGTAATTGCAGGATTAACCCCTGATATGTA